GAACGGCGGGTTCAACAAGGGGATCTACTCCTCGCCGTCGTTGAATTTCAACAGTTACAACAAGGGCAGGGGCTTTGCGAACAACGTGGTGGCGAATGGGAAGGTGATTAAGGGCGGTAAGAATGAGGATGTGAATGGGGGCAAACATGGGAAGAAGAATAAAGGCAACAGAGAAGGTAATAAGGATAACAAGAATAACGGGAATGGTGAGAACAAGAACGCCGTGGATAAGAGGTTTAAGACCCTGCCGCCGGCGGAGGCCTTGCCGAGGAACGAGACAATCGGCGGTTATATCTTCGTCTGCAACAATGATACCATGGCTGAGAATCTCAAGAGACAGCTTTTTGGTACGCAATTCTTACTGTTTTTCTTTAACTTGTTCTTATTTGTAGTCTTTTCCTTGTTTGCTAATTTGCTTGGACCATCTCATATCACAGGGTTGCCTCCTCGATACCGTGACTCAGTCCGCTCAATAACTCCCGGGCTGCCTCTCTTCCTTTACAACTACTCAACTCATCAGCTCCATGGAATTTTTGAGGTTTGTACTCGAAATTGAGCTCCTGAATGGGGAAAAAAAATCGGTTCTTTAACGTAAAACATTGACATATTTCATTTGTTATTTTACAGGCTGCGAGTTTCGGAGGGTCTAATATTGACCCATCGGCTTGGGAGGACAAGAAAAATCCCGGCGAATCGCGCTTTCCGGCTCAGGTGTGTGAGTTTAGAAAATGCTCGTGACAGATGATGTTCGTCTTTATGTGTTAAAACCGTATCTCGCAGTTTCTACATTTTTGTCAATTTAGATAGGAACTAAAATTCGATTTTGTACCATACTTGTGTAGGTTCGTGTTGTGACGAGGAAGATATGTGAGCCGTTGGAGGAGGACTCGTTCAGGCCAATTCTTCATCACTATGATGGCCCCAAGTTCCGTCTCGAGCTGAACATCCCTGAGGTAACCTTTATAATTCGCAACACGGAACAAATTTCGAGCATTGTTAGAGCATTGTTAGTAATTCTGAAAGATTGCTAACTTGTGTTATGTGTTTTTGAGTTTTTCCATTATAACCCATTTGTTAACATCTGCTAATACTTATCATGATATGGGTTTGTTTGATCATGGCAGGTCCTCTCTCTCTTGGACATCTTTGAAGAGAACAATGCTTGAATTTACAAAACACACATAATAATATATGAAGAGATGAAAGGGAAGCTAAGAGTTACAGTTTGCCGGTTGTTTTCGAATTATAAGCTATATCGATGTTTGGCGGGTAAAAAAATCGAGCTTTGGAAGAGAGTAGGCCGTGGTGTTTTGTGAATATATAATATATATACATACAAGTTTTTTATGCAATGCAGGGTGGAGTTTAATCTCCCCTTATTGTAATATGATCATGATGAAAAGGTATATACATTATATATATACAGACAAGCAAAAGACTCATCAGAGATTGAATTATGTTTAAGGCGGATCTATTGTTGTGTATAGTTTGCTCTTGCACTGATGTTGAAAGTGTTTCGCATTGGATTTTGATGAATAATTGAATTGATTTTGGCTCGTTTATTCATGATTTATTCAGAATTTTCCTTATAGTATTAGTGAGTGATTATAGTATGAGTGAGTGATGCTATATTGTGACTCGGGGGTCGTTTACTTTGCGATGGGATTAGACAATTTAATCATAGATATTTTACACTTTGCGATGGGATTCGACAATTTAATCATAGATATTTTACACGTCGGGGGCTTGAAAATATGTAAAGGAAAGATTGGGATAAAAAAAATCCCGGGTGGGGGTAGGACTAATTTAATCGTCTAATGCTTGATAAGCAGTGGTCTCGTAGTCCACGTGCGTCAAGTGGGATCAATCCTATTCCAATTCAAGAAAGTAAACACTGTACAATGGGTGACAATCTTCATTATCCATCAATTCTATCCTAATCTAGGAAAGTAATCACTGTACAAGTGTCTTACTTCCATTGACATATATATGTATATATATGTAAAATGAAAATAACAAGTAATGATTGAAAAAAAAAAGATAGCGTTCTAATTATTTAGTCATAAAAGTCTACTGATGAGCCAAAAAGAATCGAACCATTGAGGTTGCCTGTCGAACCGCTTCATCTCGATTGTGTGATAGTTCGGCTGTCTCAATCGTCATTGTCTTTAAGAACCGAATCGACCTGCAAAGCGCCGAAGTAGACACTCCGACGTTCAAGTCAGAAAACAGATATTGGTCATGTATTTTACATAATCTTAAGAGCTAGAGGTTAGAAAAATGAAAATGTGTTCTTTTTTTATAAGAGATCTATTGACTTACTCCCTAAAATAATGAGTTTGAGTTTCCTCAATAAATTAGAATTCTGATGTTCCTTAACAACTTCGTAAATATACACCAACTTTCATGATTATCTTTAACCAATACCGTGTATCACATAAATTAAAATTTAAGCTCCCTTGAACCGGTCTTATCCGAACTAACCGGTCAGACGGGTCCACCAAATTATTTCTGGTGCTACATCATCCATCAACAATTTTACAATCAATTAAATCATAACGTAACAGCACCGCTACCATTTATCTTCACGGGATGACTATATAGCTGCTCTCTCTTCGTCGCTATTAATTTATTACAACTTTATTTTAGGTGTAACTGCTAAAGTAACCTAAAGTGCACCGGCCGTATTGCAAAAGAAATGCAACATGAGTCGATTTCAAAGTGGATTTGATTTCATTTATTTACATAAAATGAGTTTAAGATGAAAAAAATAAAATAAAAAAATTCTGATTTGATGGAAATTTAAATTTATTTTTGAGATTGTAAGTGAATAAGAACTCTTAAATTACATTCATATAAGAATTGTGAAATAAGGGTTGTACACGATTAATATTTAAAAAATATGTGAGGAGATAAAAAACGAGTTAGTTGAATATTATATGGTTATAATTGATTTTTATTATTTAATTATATTATCAGCTTTGAGGAAAGTTAAAGTTGAATTTATTCTGAGTTTGATTTCGAATTCAAAATTGATATCTAATCGTTTTTTTTTTTAAATATTCGGCAAAAAAAAAAAAATTATAACTAGTTACAGATAACTTTTCAAGGTCATACCTTTATTTATTTATAGGAGATTCAACGGTTCTTTTATTTTAAATATTTGAACAATTACATGATGATTTAACGGTTACAAATTTCCACGAAATTATTCGTAACGAGATTGTAATATTTTCTTTTATTTTAATATAATTTGTTTATCTTTTTTACTAATGCACCTTCAAGAAGTGGTGCTAACTATACTTCAATTTTTTATTTTTTACGTCATTGGAGACAATTCTAGAAGCTCATTTAATTTGACTTTTGATTTATTATTTGTCAGGCTGAGTCGATGCAATTGTTCACTTTTTATTTATTTAATTATTTTGAAGCGTAGGTTAATTTTCCACGAGAAATAAAATATAAGTACAATAATTGTTGAGCCGGGTCGTGTTCATTGAACTTTCTTTCATTTTACTTGTAATTGGTAAGCATTTTTTGCTCAAGTTTATTATTGTTGATAGTTGACCGTTTAATCGGGCATTACAATATGTTTTTGATGTAATTGGAGCAATAAATAAAGAAAGGATACGAACAAATTCATATTATCTAGAGAAGTAAATATGCGAGAAAAACAAAGGAGGCATTGATGTTTCCGATATGTGGAGATCGACAAGGAGAGTAGTTCTCCGTAATTTTTATTACGAGACAGTACAGAGGTGTGTTACAAGCAGTGTTTTAAAACGCGTATAGCATAATATCGCAATCTTCGTACAGCGTAGCGTAAATAGTGTTGCGTGTTGCGTAAGTTATTTGAGTATAAAAATCTTTGAATGCATTCAAAAATAACATTTAGGAATTATTTCTCACAAATGTTTTAAGATAAATATCATAATATTAATATCTAAACTATAAAGCGAACATACTAAAAAGTAAAAACAGACAACGAAATATAATGAGGTAAATCATAGTTTAATTCTAAGTATATGTATTTTAATAATTATTTTTATTTAACTACAACTTAATTCTAACCACTACATATGAACTTTTTATTCTTTATTTAAATGTTAGATACCGATAATTAAAATGATATAAAAGAAATTGATCGATAAAATTGCACTATTCAACTTAAGATTTTGCATATCAAGCTTTTAATTTAAAATAATTATCAAAAGTTTAGGTTTTAGTTGTCATTTGAAATTATGACTCTAATAAAAGAAACGAGGTTTGAAATATTTTATTAATTAAAAGTCGTTATAAAAATATAGCGCAGTGTCGCGCACAATAGTGTGAAATAACGCAAAATAGCGTAAAAAACGTGCAATTTCAGCACTTCGCGTAAGCTTTTTGGGAAAATGCTAAATAATAAAGCTATGTCGCGTTTTTTGGGAAAAAAAAAAAATTACATAGCGAGCTATTTAAAACAACTGTTAAAACCATACGAGGGATAAGGAACATATGCTATGGTCTGTTTTGTTTTTCTTCGTTTGTTCGTGCTAGGACCCAAAGGGGCCGAATTTATTCACGAAAAAAGTAAAAAATAAAAATAAATGTACAGTGCCTACTATGGATGTAGGGTGGCACCTCGTGTATCCATGCAAAACTCGTCTTTTGAGGATGAGACAGCTTGGACGACGGTCGGAGTTTGGTGAAACAACTGGTCGCTCTTCTAGTTGAAGTATAGAGCCCTTTTTTTGTTGCCTAGGTTACACCTTCGGAATACCCCAAGCTTCATCAGATTTGTTGGTTTGACTTTCAGATGAGGAGAGATCATCAATCTTCATCGAGAAGACTAAAGGGGAGATCGACAAAGACCGACTTCCGTTGTTTGTAAAAGCACAAAAAAAAAGGTCTTAAACATGCTAACAAGATTGGGGGATTGATTTTAAACTATCTAACCTAAGCAATTGAAAGCAATTAACTAAAGACAAATAATTTAACACAAGATTGGAGCTTTATTGAAACCAGAGTCTTCAACACTTGAGAAAAGAAGAAAACAAAGAGAAACAAGCTACGTCTAGCACAACTAGAGGATATGGTCAAACATTCAGTTACGAAATAACCGATCTTGTAACAAAGTCTCGATTTTTACTTTGAAAGATTCAACCTTTAACCAACTATCGCACTAGACAAGCAAAACAACAGAAAATATGAAAACTTTAACAAAAGCCGAGTCAATCCACAAGTATTCCGACCAAGACGTTATTTTCACCTCAATCCATGTAGTAACAAAAAATAAAGAAAATGTGAGATAATAAGTCCTAAACTAGGTACTTACTTCCTTATTGCATGCCCAGATGAAATAAATGCAAAAAAAGCTCGAAACTTTACAAAAAATGACGTCGCCAAAAATTTCGCTGGAAATATCAAGTCTTGGAGCTCCAAACATAAACTAGAGAGAGAAAAAAGAGAAATATAAATTAGTGTGTTCAAAATATAAAGCAACAAGTGATTTATAGTTACACCACGAACACACACTAAAACACACACATTTACGCAACACTCGTGAGGTAGCCAAAACGCTCGCGGGGTCGTGCGTGCAGGGTTCTAGACATCACGTGTTGGCAGACTGGTTCGCTTGCTGGTGGGCGCGCGAGCTGCTGGGCATGCGCTGGTGATCTAGGTCGCCGGGATATGAGTCTCAGAAATGGAGGTGATCGGTGAATATTCTCTCGGCCAACCTTGAATTCTTGTCGAGGTTTGCATATGGTTTCCTGAGGAACAACTCATGGTAACCAAGGAAATATGCTCCAGGCGTGAACTATGTGAAAGAATTAGGGTGGCCGCGTTGCGTCCTTGCCGTTGGAAGAGGGGTCTCGACAACGACGTCAGTTTAGGATGAATCTCTCTGCTAACCTTGAGAACTTGGCGAGTAAGGGTATGGTTATCCGAGGAAAAGCTCTTGGTGCACGAGAAAATATACACGGATCTTGAGGTATGCAAAGGAGGTACACACGAGCCGTGGGGTGCGCTCAGGCCGGCACAAGTTTGGGCACGAGACCTAGGTCATCTCGACAACAGCTCGTCGTTCATCAGAAAATTACGTGGTTTCTTTGGGTAACGCTCCGAAATGCAATTTTCTTCGAGAAACTGGTCGCTCCACTAGTTGAAGTATCGAGCCCCTCTT